AATCCCTAACCTGAAGGGGCTGTGGCCAGCCTGCAAACAGCCATCAGCCCCTCACCCAAGTTGGCTAGGCACCCCAGCAGGAACCGCCACCCTGAAGGGGCTGTGGCCAGCCTGCAAACAGCCATCAGCCCCTTACCCAGGCTGGCCACACCCCCATGGGGAGAGGGTCCCCACTGGGGGGCTTGGCCATCCTGCAAACAGCCATCAGCTACTCACCCAGGCTGGCCAGGCACCCCAGTAGGACCCCCCTCCCTGGAGGGGGTGTGGCCAGCCTGAAAATGGCCCTCAGCCCCTCACCCAGGCTGGCCAGGCACTCCAGTGGGGACCCCCACCCTGAAGTGGGTGTGGCCAGTCTGAAAATGGCCCCCACCCTGATCCGGGACACCCTTCAGGGCAAACCAGCCGGCCCCCACCCATGCACCAGGCCTCTATCCTGTATAATAAAAGGGTAATATGCACATTGAACCACTAACAGCAGAACCACTGGGAATGACTGGTCACAATGACACACACTGACCACCAGGGGGCAGACGCTCAATGCAGGAGCTGCCCTCTGGTGGTCAGTGCGCTCCCACAGGGGGAGCTCTGCTCAGTCATAAGCTAGGCTGATGGCTGCCAGTATAGCGGTGGTGGAGGGAGCCTTTCCCGCCTCCTCAGCAGTGCTAAGGATGTCCGACTGCAGCTTAGGCCTGCTCCCTGCTGGCAAGTGGGCATCCCCCCAGGGCTGCTGGGCTGCCAGAGGGATGTCTGACTGCCAGCTTAGGCCCAATCCCCTGGGGAGCAGGCCTAAGCCAGCAGGTGGTTATCCCCTGAGGGGTCCCAGACTGCAAGAGGGCACAGGCCGGGCTGAGGGACCCCCACCCGAGTGCACAAATTTTTGTGCACTGGGCCTCTAGTATATATATGTGTGTGTATGTGTGTATATATATATTGTAAAATATATATATATATATTTTTACAATATAATATATATATACTGCCAAATTTTGTGTGTGTGTGTGGATATATATATATATATATTGCCCAAAGTATGTGTGTGTGTGTGGATATATATATATATATATTGCCCATCTTTCGAGCATTCTGAGTTTTGTCCACTAGAGGAAACCAGCAAGCCGTATCCAGGCTCCTTCATAATCAAGAGTTGTCATCCACTCCTGTGCGTGAGCATCCTAGACTCCACTCTCTTCACAGTATTGGTGTGTCTATCTCACAACTACAGTCAAATTTGTTTCCTTTTTAAAAATGTTTCCCCTAGATTTATCTCTCTTTTTAAAAAGAATTCATTATTGTTGAAATTATTACATATGTCACTTTTTCCCCCATTGCCCTCCTCCAGCTCGCCCTGCCCCCCCTGCCCCAAGCCCTCGCCACCCCATTGTCTGCGTCCCTGGGCCATGCACAGACGCATACAAGGTCCTTGGTTGATTACCTCCCACCACCCACCCTCCCCTGCCCTGCCTCCGAGGTTCCACACTCTGTTCCATGCTTTCATGTCTCTGCATCCACTCTGATCATCAGTTTATTTTGTTACTTAGACTCCACATAGGAGTGAGATAATGTGATGAGACACATTCTTCACACAATTGACATTAAAATGCTCTTACCTTTTCCAGGTCAAGAAAGTGGTCATCTAGTTTCGTGCCTTCAATGCCATTTATTTTTTCCCTAATTACCTGCAGAAATAAAGACAAATAATCCTATATAATAAAAGGTTAATATGCAAATCAACCAAAGGGTGGAACAACCAGTCGCTATGATGCTCACTGACCATCAGGGGGCAGATGCTCAACGCAGGAACTGCCCCCTGGTGGTCAGTACACTCCCACAGGGGGAGTGCTGCTCAGCCAGAAGCAAGGCTCACAGCTGGCGAACACAGTGGCAGTGGCGGGAGCCTCTCCCGCCTCCACTGCAGGCGGGCGATAAGGAGTGAGGGGTCCTGGGCTGCGAGAGGACGCAGGCCAGGCTCAAGGCCCCCTACCGCCCCCCGCCCAGTGCACGAATGTTGTGCACCAGGCCTCTAGTTATAATATACAATGACATGTGATCAAAGTATTTGATGCAAATTCTCTCTCTCTCTCATACACACACACACACACACACACACACAATACTCTCAGATTTAGCCTGTTTTTTTCTTTTTTTTTTTTTGATGAGAAATATTTTTTTTTATTATTCTTTTAAAAAAAATATTATAAT